GTCAATCTTTCTACTGGTTACAGCTTTATATTGCATATTCTAGCAAAAGATGCTAACACTAAATTACGAGGCCAAACTGGAGTTTTTATATACTAACAAAGTGAAATAGTACTCGTTTTGAGCTTATGTTTACAAATATGGTTCCTGGAAATTCTAGACTTTTACTTCTGAGATTGCAGTACACAGAGCATAGGAAACTTCTAAAATGTATTGTGATTTTAAATTGAGAAGTGCACTAATTCAAAATAAACAACTAAAATTATTACCACAAGAACATGTATATTATAAAATCAGTGAAGTATGGAATTTATCCAGAGATCAGAGAAATTTACAAACCTTTTTTATTACCAATGTGAGAATTATGTGGCATGCAAATATGAATGACAGTTTTAATGTCAGTGTACCATATCTGCAAATTCCTTCGATAAACATTAGAGATTCAAAACTTGATTCAGCTCTTGTCATTGAAAACTCTCAGCACAGTGGAGGATATGTTCTTGACTTTAAAATGGATCATGTGGAAAAACTACAAGCATTCGTTAAGGAATCAATTCACTTCATTAAATCCATTCTTCTAGTCCTGTATTTGGAGTGGATTATGAGATGGAAGAAGAGCCACAGCCACTTGAAGTTCTGAAAGTTGCACAAATTCAAGATGATGTAGAAATAGATTCTCATGATCACCCAGAAGGTTTTGTGACTTACTTTGCTGATGGCAATAAGCAACAAGATTGTGAATTTTTGTATTATCAGAACTGGGCCTTACAACAGAGAAATAGAAGATAGATTCACCCTACATGGACTTTGGGAAGTAATGAGTTGATCTTGAGTTGAGCTGGAGTTTTATGTAAAGATATCTCAAGATTAAAGATACTAGTGCATGCTATAAGGCATAAATTTTACATTTACAGAAAAAGATTTTAAGAAAGAATTTTTAAAAGATTAAACAAAACTCATTTATCTAAGATTTTACTGTTTTCTAGAAATTATATTTCAAATGGCAATCAAAATGTATCTGGACTGTAAATGTTTACTTTGCAGCTAATACTTGTCAATTATTAATCTGCAGATCTTAAATGACTATATTGTGTTGGTTTTAGTTAAAAATTTATGCAATACCATTTAATGTTTCAAAAGCGTTATTTGGAACTATTCTTATGAAGTAATCAAAATAGTTTTAAATTATAAAAATCTACATTAAATATATTATATAGCTCCAAATGTACGCCAGCTCTAATATAAATTACAGCCCTTAAACTTGTCATTTATGGTAATCATTTCTGTAAAAACTAAAAATTGTAACTAACTCTAGAATATATCAACCCCTATGTAAAGTTTGGGATACTGTTTTATAAGTAATTTCCATATAGTTTTGGCAAAAGTACATTTATTTCGTAAGTAGTTTGCAAATAAATAGTTTTTACTGACTAAAAAAACATAACCTTAAAACTCAATTTTTTATGACTTAATCTTATTTTAAGGGTAAGCAGACTTCTAACACCAACATGAATTTTAAATGATAGTGTGATACTTTTGTGAGATTTTTGCAATGTTAATGGTTTTAAAATCCCAATAATTTAACAACTACTACTGTGGCTCTTTGGAATCAAGATCATCATATTTTCATCAAGTTGTTTGCATTTCTCACAACACAGAATCATTAGGCTAATAGATTTGGTTGGAAAAGGTTAAAACTGTCCTATTATAAAATTCTATGCCGGTTTTCATAAAATTTGTGAATATAATTTTCTGTAGAGACAGTGCTAAGCACTTTAAACTCTCTGCTAACATTACTATTATACCATGGGAGAGGAATTTATATCAAGCATGGTAAATAATTATGAAATATTCCTTATCATATAATTAACTAAAAATGCATTCTCCAATCGAAGCAAACATATGAACCATCATTTGGGCCAGTTCTGATGTTTTTATATATAAATACAAATACAAGTTTAAAATTTTTTCTGTTACATCAACTCGGGGAAGAATAATAATTTTGAGGACATTCTTACATGAATGGCTTAAGTCATGCATCACCAAGATCATTCACTGCTTTGAACACTATAGGATATAGAAAATTATTTTCAGGATCCCAAATTAATATGGGTTCAAAGATTATGAGAGTAGACTCACTGTGTATGAAGAATTACATCATCATCAAAGTACATTTGTTATATCTGGAATGATTCCTAAAGATAATAATTTCAGGGGGGAAACTTGTCAGGTCCTTTTTTCTTTTCTTTAATTCTCATTCTGACAAAAGTATTTCTTTCTTTAACCAAATCTACAAGGTCTGTCCAGAAGGTAGCCAGCCATGTAATATGAATAACAGAGACATTTATTGAAGAAGATACAAGATACAAGAAACTTTGTACATAGGACAATGACCCCTCAGCCCTCCAGTGTAGGCACCTTGGGACACAGTTCTCCCAATTGCCATCTGCTGCTCTATCATATTCTCTTAAATCTCACTGACAGTCTAAAATTTCTTCCCTTTCAATGGTGATTTTAGTTTGGGGAAAAGACAGAAGTCACAGGGCGCCAAATCTGGGCTGCAGTGGGGCTGAGTCACCTGGGTGATTTGATGTTTTGCCAAAAAATTCTGCATGAGAAGTGATGCATAAGCATGCACGTTGTCATGATGAACTGCCAATAACCAGCTGCCCATAGCTGTTGCCATTTTTTGTCATATTGCATCACTTAACCAATGAAGAACACTGAACTGGTACTCCTTATTCATTGTTTGGCCTGGAAGGGTGTACTCATGTTGGACAACATCTTTCTCATCAAAAAACACAGTTAACATGGTCTTGATCTTGCTATGACTTTGCTGCACCTTCTTTTGGTGTAGACAACCAGGCGACTTGCACTGGGACAACTGGACCTTCATTTCGAGATCATAGCTGTAGGCCCACAATTCATCTCCAGTTATTATCTTCTTGAGGCAATCTGGTTCATTGGTAGCAGTTTGAATCAAATCATTAGCAACTGCAGCACAATGTTCCTTCTGCTCTGGTAGCAGAAGCCATGTAATGGATTTTACCACAACAGGTTTCATGCCAAGATCCTATGTCGAAGTCTCAGACACGGTAGTTTTTGGAATTCTCCAGATCAGCTTCTAGTTCTCACACTGTCAGTTACTGATCCTTGTTGACTGCAGCCCAAAGACAGTCAACATTCTCAGGTGTTCTGCTTGTTGCAGCCTTTGAGAACGTGGATGACTTTCAACAGATTTCTCGACCACCTTTGAAGCATTAGTGCCACACTTTCATCTGGGCTGCATTCATTACATCATCCCCAAAAGCCTTCTCAATCATCTGAATAGTTTCCATGGAGGGATGTTCAAACATAATGCAAAATTTGATGCAGATTCGTTGCTCTACGCACTCAGTCATTTTTAATGCGATGGCCACACAGCACACATGCTCACTCAATTGTGTCTATGGCCCCCACTGACTCGTACAGTGAAGTCATCATTGTTCACACATGCGCATTCCAGTCCACTCTCCTTGGCTGCCAGGTTACATCGATGTCACACAAACCATTCTCATTATATTAACAATGGCTGGGCTTTTTCCGGACAGATCTAGTAGTATATCAAAATATCTAGGAAATTTTGACTTCTCAGCTAGACTTCTCCAAATACAACATGTAGTTTTATAATATCCCAACTGCTGTGATCTGATGTTTGAAAAGTCCTGAGTGAACCCTGATCAGTAATAACCCCTTGTTCAGGACAGTAGCCATCCTAAGCAATTGACTTGTCAGCAAGAACACTCAGGAAGAGAGGGTAGTACCGCTTGGGAGTCTATATCTGCTGCCGATGTTTTTTACTTAACTTTCTGTTTCCCTTCCTCCTCTTTCTCCTTCCACCCTTCCCTTTTTTCCTTCTTATAGTAGAATGAGAAAAGAAACAGGTGTTTTTTTTTCTTTTACTTATCCCCAGGGAGTAACAGGGAAACAAACTTACCATGGAGACCTGAATAGGTTCTCCCTAAAAAGGGAGAAATGTCATTTTTTTCTTACCAGAAAGGACTGTTTATGGCTATTGACTAACAAGTGCCTCCATCAGATGCCTACACCCTATTGTCAAGGAAGAGTCAGGCAGTGGTTAACTGCTGGAATAAATCAATTGTTTCTCAAGTGTGTTTCAGGCAATTCCATATTTTTTGAATTGTTTGGGGCTCCCTAAATGAAAGATCCATAAAAGGAGTGAATGCTCTAAGTGCCTGTTCTATCATGCACCTGACCAAACCATCGTCACAGGTGCAGGTGTGTGACATGAAATCCTGACACCCGCCTCGAAGACTGGCAGGGACAATGCCATACTACTGGCAAAATGGGTGTACAACACATATTTTTAATTGACTTACTGAGGCAGGACACCACATAGGGTGACTTTAAAAGATTGAAGACCACTGTTCTCTCTTATGTTGCTTCGTCTTTCAGCCTTCACAATCTCATTCTCATGGGACAACTACTCTGGAGTGAAAGTGTGATTGCAGGCTGAGTATGCACAGGATGAGCATCTGTTCTGGTTTGCCTGGAACAGTCCAGGTTAGAGCGCATTGCAGGATAAGTATTAATAATGCCCTCATTTACTCTCAGAAGTGTCCCAGTTTGGATGACAATTATATGATCACCTGAATGAAGGTCTTTAGTAAGATCAGTTTGTGGTTCTCAGTAACAATAGCTTCCCACTCCCTTCCCCCTTGGTTTAACCAAGACTCAAAACCCACAGATCAAAGAACTCCATTTTGGAATATTAAGAAGCTTTTCTATTTCAATTATGCCATTCACCTATAGTTTCTGTAGTATTTTAGTAATGACCAATTTTAATAGATTTGATTTATATATTTTCATCTCCTCCCTCCAAAAGAAAGAAGGGACACATTTTTATCAGGCAAAAAGATAAGTGGCAATAATAAAAGAAACAACAAACATATAATATTTTTCATTAACAATTCAAACACTACAAAACATAGAATATACAACTTAAAAATGAAAATACAAATTAAAGAAAAATGGGGTACATGTCATATTAGCAATGCAAAAGACCAGCTTAAGCATAGTTTCTCTAAATCAACAATTAATAAAAGAAAAGTGCCCTTTTCTCAATACGCATAAAAATATTTCAGTCACTTCTAGGGAAAAATTAATAAAAACTTTCTGCTAATTCTATATTACAGCATGTATTACTAATGGTTTACAAAACTTAAGTGTCTTCTTACACTTAAAATTTACAACCTTTTCCAATCATTATACACTCATTCAATCCAGTCTGTCAAAAATAAATTTATTTCATTTCCATATTTATGAAATAATTACTGATATGTTATGGATCTCAAGTGGTGAATGTGTATATGGTATATGGTGGGGACAGTGATCAGGATAAAGTCCTGGATCTAAAGTGGGCCAACAGTCAGAGAGAAAAATCACCTCTGTCTGGCATGTATTGATTCCTGTAAAAATTCTAGTATTTCTAAAATAATTCTAATTGTACATTTCTTCATTCTAAAAGAAGTCTAAAGTGTTCATATTTAACTTTTCTATCCACTTCTAGAGTTTAGTCTACCCAGTTATGACACTTGAGAGAATGTTTCCTCCTGGGTTCATATTATCCCTACCACTCTGAGTCCAGCTGAAAAGAAATAAACAGATAATTGGGACTCAATAATATGCCCCATTTCTTCTACATGTTTAGTGATTCACACTAAATTTTATGGGAAACTGCACAATCCTAGGTACAGGTCTAAAATGCAAATGAAAAAGAAAACATTTTAACTTTAGTTTTCAAGCAATAATACCAATGCCCACCGCAACCCACGTCTCTGAAGGGGTTCTGCAAGTTCATGCTTGTAGCCAAGGTTTTACAGTGAGTCATGCTTCATGGGTGCAGTTCTAAAACTAACAAGAATGGAAAAAAATCACACTGACATCTCCTTCCAAGCCACCTGTACAAAAGGCCCTATACTCGGTCAGCCTCAGTTTTGAGCTTTCTGGTTTCTGTCCAGCGACTGCCTACCAAGTGGATTAACATTCACATAAGGTGGCAAACTTGAGGATGGAGAAGAACTGAATTGCAGTTCTGGAAAGGGTTCCAGTGGCTACCAGATGGTCCTTTGGTGTCATTCACTGCTGCTGCTGCTGCTGCTGCTGCTGCCGCTGCTGCTGCTGCCTGCATCCTCTCTCATGGGGGAGGATGAACTGTCTCGGACTGGCAGCAGGTCGTAATGGCAAGGGATGTGACTGTTCTTTGGAAGGTCGTATGGATCCTGGATGAGGTGCCCATTATTGCTGAATATTCCTTGGACAACACTCACTGTAGGTTCTGTGACAACCAGGGACACATTAATTTATCAGCAATGAAAAAAATTTAATAAACAGAATATGGCATTGCTTTCAAATATCAAACACACGAGAGAGGTTTCTTATAAAAATACAAGAAAGTATTTTAACAACAAATTATCCTTTTAGAAGTAATCACTACTCTGTGGTGGGCAGACTCACCGATGCCCACAAATGGTGTTGAGAACATACACCATTGGTTGGGATACAAATACCATTGGGTATGGTTGGGATGAAGATGTCAAGGGAGTATACAGAAACCCTGGATGTGAACCACTGTCTGAAAAACCTTGGAAATAATCTAGTGCCAACCTCTTACTCTACATAGAAGAAGACTGAGATCCTTAGAGGTTAACTCAGTACATGGAAACAAGTTTACAATGTTAAAAGCCAGGCTCTCAGTCCAATTCCAGTCTTACTGTGGTGAGTTTACCGCACAGTTCAAACAGACTTGTTACTGACTTTTCTATAACATTTAGTTCCCTATGCGTTTCATTTAAAAAAGCTGTCTTACTACCTTTGAAATAGTTATATATTTTCAGTGACATGTCTATAGCATAAAGGGAATTACTAGAGTTAAATCAACCACTTCATTTACAAGCAGTAGAGAATTTTTTAAATTTAAATCCTAAATACTGATACAGAGAGAGTAAAAAAATTAAAATATATAGCCCTATTATCCAGCCACTGATAGCTTTGATACATTTTAACTTTCCCCAAACGGTACTTACAAGGAGCAATCAAAATACCTCTGATTTTAAATTAAACTCTTATTAATTTGTATCAGATTCCCATCTTAGACTCTTACTGATATATTAGACAAATTTAAAAGTAAATTGTTTCAATCCTGCTAAAAGCATTATATTAATATAATGAATGCAACCAGGAATTGGAAACTCCTCTTTAATCTAGTGGAACCATTTGTTTTGGCTAAATTGAGATATTAGCTAATATGATGCATATGCTATTCCACATGTGGGCTAAAATATCCACTATGGCTACAAGAGAAAAGATGGATGACCAGGTGGGAGATAAGAACAACTTCCTTTAAATTTTCTAAATGGTGTGACCCTGAATATTTATTTGACACCAATTCATATGATCACTGTAAACATAGCTTACATTAAATATATGGGCCATTATTTGTAATAAGGTTTATATGAAATGCTGTTGTATTGTCAAAGACTTTGAAGCTGTTTTTTTTTTTTTTTTTTTTTTTTTTTTAATTCCCAGACTAGGTTCTTTGGTTAGGAGAACTTACCAACTTCATAGACATTCTTGTTGGCTGAACTTGAGTTATTGATCTCTGCATATGGGGAATCTCGCCGTGCTGGTGACTTCATCTCCACGTAGCCGCATTCTGAGTTTTTGGGGATAAGTACAGGTGGGTCTTTGATAGTGGCATATGGGTTTTCAGAACTGCTTAGGGAGCAGTTACTTGAATTATACTCAGAATTCTTTCCCAGCTCTGTCAAGAGAGATGGTAGAAAAAATGAAGTGCTATTTCAGAAACTTTTTTTTAAATTTTATTTTGCAATTGCAGTGTACAGTCAATATTATTTTGTATTAGTTTCAGGTGTACTGAGCAATGTTATTTATTTTCTTGGTGATAATTACTTGGGCAGTTTTTCTTTGTAGCTAGTTTTCTAAACTACATACACTGAAAATAATACCAAATGTTTTTCACTTATTTTGGAGCTAATTTGCTATAAAATTACTATAAAATATATTTAAAAAACAGTAATTTTAGCTCTTGTCTAAGGTGAGAACCAATATAGAAATCATGGATTTGATTTCATTTTGATTATCACACTCAAATAAAATTAATTCCATTCTATTTTAATAATAGTCTCCAAATTTTCAAAGGCTTCAATCAAGAAGCCATCTACTGATGGGCCCAGGAGCCCAGGAAGGTTCTGTTGTCATGGTGAGGAAAGCATCTGTGCTGTGAGGGTTTCTTGTAAAACCTCCATCCTGGGCACCTGAAGTATTACTCAAACTCTTCCTGTAACCGTGTAACCATGTAACCATGCTGATCTCTTCCTATTTTCCCTACTATTTCTTTTTTTCTCTCATCAGCTGTATTTCTTTTGAAGGAAATAGGAGTGTTCCCCAGCAAACAGAAACCTTTGTTTCATAAAGACTTATGCTCTAACTAGATCCACCTATGGCCACTGTCTCAATGTCAGTCAAATGTGTTTATGTGTTTGTTGGAATAACCATACTACCAATTCTATATATTTTTTCTACATTGCTACTCTTGTTCATTTAGCAAATTATTTCAGTCTCTGAGATATATTTTTAAATTGTGATTTTGATCAATGTATTTCTTCTTCAAATTCACACCATACCTTTCAAGGATTTCCCCATATAACTTCTGTCCAGTCCAAAAGCACCTGTGTTAAAGGAAGAACAACAATACCCAGTGAGCCCTGGCTGGTGTGGCTCAGTGGATTGAGTGTCAGCTTATGAACCACAGGGCCCGATTCCCAGTGAGGGCACATGCCTGGGTTTCAGGCCAGGTCCCCAGTAGGGGGTGCATGAGAGGCAAACACACATTGATGCTTCTCTCTCTCTCTTTTTCCCCTCTTTCTTCTCTCCCCCTTTCTTCTCTCTCTAAAAATCTTTAAAAAATGAAAAAAAAAAAAAAAACCACAGTGAGAACTGAAAGCAAGAGAAAGCCCATCTAATATTCCAAGGTCAGGGAGGAAGATGGTGGGGGCACCCACTTCCTTCCCACTGCAGGCGATCACCTAGGTTGCTGCTCTTCAAACCCTGACACCAGATCACTCATGCCACACATATTCCCAGTGCTTGGAATTAAAAAATACACATATATCATTCTGATCATTCTCCAGCTCATTTACTGTGACTTGGGGAAAGGCTGATCAATATAGGGTAGAAACTGAGGCACAGACGAATCAGTACAGTTGATTCCAAGTTGCACAGTAGAAAGTACATCTCAGGACTAGAACTGAGATGAAGGACTTAAATTTCATCACTTGTTAGCCACCTGACTTTGGGAATGATGATAAACCCTCTGACTGTCACTTTTCTTATCTTAAGATGAGGAAAACAAAATCTGCCTTCCAAGCCTTAAAGGGCTGTGAAAAAGAGCACAGCCTTGGTAAACTCCGAAGCACCATAGAAATGAATGGCATTTCAATTACTGTAACTCTGACTGTGTCTTAGCTTCCACCTATCTGTAAGCATTCCAAGGCCTTGAAAGGAATGTTATGAACTTAGGTTAAAAACAGAGTAAGCAATGACTTGTGATGAACGTTCAAATAAGTATGAGAATGGGAAAGATGGCTCCTTATCAAGTGTGTATGTGTTTCTTAGAATGATGTTCAACTCAAGTTCGGATGGTGATTCCCTTTTGGGAACACACATTTGTGGAGAAAGAGGGAGAATCCCTTGGGGGAGAGGGTGGGTCTAATATCAATCTTCATGAGACAAGAAATGGGAATGTTTTTCTTTCTCAGGCACGTTTCCTTAGGTTTGGGTTCTGAAGTCTAGCTGAGCTCCCAACTGGTGGGAAAGGCACCAAGTTACACAGGAAGGCAGAACAAAAGGATGTGTAGTGAAGAATTACCTTACCACAGGAAGGTCCGGCCTTTGCCCTTGGTTTCTGGGAGGAGATCTCTAAGACCTTGGAATGTCCTGCCCAGTAAGAGTGTTTCTGTTTACCTGGGGGCCTAGGGCTATACTGGATATTCCAACATAGTGATTGATGGGGGAGGAGGTTGGGCCACTTGGTATCAGATCAACCTCTAGATGGGCTGGAGACTAAAGGTCAATCACATGGGCAGTAAACCAAGTCTACATAACAAACCCCCCATAAAAACTCCAGATACCAAGGCTGAGGTGAGCTTCCCTGGTTGGCAAACCCTTATGTGTACTGCCTCACACTGTTGCCAGAAAAAGTCAGCACTTTCCATGATTGCATTGGGAAAGGAGAACTGGAAGTTTCATGCTTTGAACTTTCCTCAACTCCTTCCTGTATCTCTTTCCTTGGCCAATTTTAATCGGTGTACTTTTGTTGTGATAAACTGTGACCATGAGGATAACAGCTTTTGGTGAGTTCTCTGAGTCTTTCCAGCAAATTGCTGATCCTGAGGGTGGTCGTGAAGAATCCCAAACTTTGTAACGGGACCCAGTGAAGACGAGCAGGGTCCGTGGCCTCTGAGAGCTCCGTATTAAGGAACTCTGTCTACGTTACTCTTTGCCAAATCCCCTTAGCCATTTCCAAACTGTGCCAACATCTTCTTAAATGTGTGACTTGGCTTTAGGTTGCAAAGAGCCTTCCCCAAGGGGTTAAAGAGAGCAGTATGGGATGGGTAGTAAATTAATGAACAAGAAGTGGGGCTGTGAGACCAAATACTCCTGCCGGATTCTCTTCACTGCCTTTGAAAATCAGGGTGCTGTTTTAACAAGGGAGCAGGTAAATTTCCCCATAAATTCCCATATGTCCCAATCCCTGGACAGGTGCTTTCAAATGCTCAGTTTAATCTACAATGAGCCAGAACATGATCATTATCCCTATTTGACAAATGAGCAAATCAGTCTTGAGAGGGAGCCTGACCTAGTGTCATATAAAGGAATCAGGAATTGATCTCAGAGCTTTTATGTCAAGTTCAGGGCTCTTTCAACAATATCACCACAACTTTCCCATCATTTAAAACACCTACCCACTTCATCATCTACAATGTGCTTTCCTCTGTTCTTTGTAAGAGAAGACTTTTTCTGTGCAACAACTTTAAAAGGACATTAAATGCAGAACTGTTCTTGGAATAGAACAAACCAAGGAGATTCAGAATTTCCCATGAGGATTTTATGACCCTTGAGTCTCATAGAGACAGAGAGCAGAGGCTTATTTGTGACCACTGCAATGATGCTGTGTTCTGGAGTGAGAACAAATTACAGCAGGCGGAGGTGGAAAAAAGAGGATTTTTCCCTCAGGAGTACTTTGTGGTATTTTACTGAATATCAATTCAGGTACCTCTTTGAACTAAATTATTAATGTCATTTAGACTTAAAATAAAATACCTCCTTAATGTTAAATAATCTCACCAGAAAGCATGTTGTGAATAAGTATATCTTTTATTTTTGAAAGAGAGAGAGGAAGGGAGGGAAGCATTGACATGAGAGAAACATTGATCGGTTGCCTCTTGTATGCACCCAACTGGGGACCAAACCTGCAACCCAGGTATGTGCCCTGACCAGGAATTGAACCCACAACCCTTTGTTTTGTGGGATGATGCCCAACCAACTGAGCCACCAACTAGCCAGGGCTGAATAAGCATGCCTAATAATTTTACTAAGTGTGTAGAAACACACATTCCATTGATAAAATTGGTGTAGAATGCAGATAAAAATTAAGACTTTATACTCATTTTCCTTCTTAAAAATTTGCATTTCTGTAGTAAGAGGGGATTTCAGAGCCCAAGGGATCGGTTCCTACATCTGGCTCAGGTGATCGAACATATATAGTGTTCACAGAAAGATCAGAGGGGGAGCAGTCAGAAGCCCAGCTGTGATTCCTTCCATGAAATCTTGGACAGGAGAGTTAAGCTTTCTGTGCCTCCCAGTTTTTCCCTCTATAAAATAACATTCATGGTAGGGCCCACCCAGTAGGGGTACCAGATTTAGCAAGTAAAAGCACAGGAAGGCTAGTTAAATTAAATTTCAAAGAAACCAGAAATAGTTTTTAGTATAAGTATGTCCTGTGCTTATTTGAAATTCAAATTTAACTGGGCTTCATGGCAAGCTTAGCACTAAACAAGTATCCATGAAAGGGTTTGTGAACCATAAGGTACCACACACACATTAACTACTATATCACCAAGCTCCTCCCTGAAAATAAGGTGCACATGCTCGGAAATGGCACCACCCACTCAGTGGGGTGTCACAGCAGTTCTTTATGTGTGGTCCAGGATCCGCAGCCCCTTCGTAGGAGGGCAACGTGATCAAAACTTTTCTCGTAATGATACGATGACACTGTTTGCCTTTTTCACTCTCATTCTCTTTCAAGTGCATGGTGGAGTTCCCTAGGAGCTGTACCAAGTGTGAGGTCACCACTGTTTACTGCAGAAGCAGAATGCAAACCTAGCTGTCCTTTGGTAAGCCAGATGTTAAAGAGATTTACCGAAGTGCGAAAGGGTGCCACTCTTCTTGCTATTTTTTGGAAAATGAAGTAATTTTTCATAAAATACATCTAACATTATCATGAAATGAGATGATTATTATAAATAAATTAATAAGTAACTGTTTTAAATGTTCTCTATTTTAATTTCTAATATGGTAAATATCAATGCCAATACCCCATATCAACAGAAGATCTCTGGGGTCCTCGGTAACTTTCAAGAGTGTGTGAATGGGTTCCAATTCCAAAACGCTCAAGAACTATTGCCTTTAATCTATTCCTGTTGGTATCTCCATGTCCTCACCTAACAGGGGAAGGGGGTCTCAGGCGCGGGTGCCCACACTGCAGGAGACCAGAGAGGAGCCCACAACCTGGAACCCAGCTGATTAGGTTTAACTCCCAGGTCTACCACTCAGCGGGGTCTGAGACTTTGCACAAGTTGCTTAACCTCTAAAAGACTCAGTTTAACTGTAATGTGCAGATGATGATGATAGGACCTACCTCTTAGGAGAATTAAGTAACTTAAAACAGAGAGTTAAAATGTAAGCTACAAGCAGGCAGAGACCCTTATCTCACTCTATCATTCCTGGCACGTAGGAGAAACTCAATTAATGTTGAATAAATAAGGCACTTGGGACAGCAATAAGCCCCACGTGGGTTAGGTATAAGTCTATTATTTCATTTTTTTCATGCATGTTTTAAGAGATCACTCTGGCACAGACATAAACCTGTGGTTCTGGGAGGTAGCTAAGAGAGAGCAGTGCTTGCTGAGGACGGGGTGGAGAACTCACCCAGCTCGTTGAGGTAGCCACCGTGTTTCCAGTCCGCGGGCAGCGTTCCCGTGCAGTCCGCCACGGGGCCTCGCTTTCCAGGATTCACGTTTTTCAGATTCACAAACAGCTGATTATTTTTTGACTGTTAAAAATATAAACAACAAAGGCTGTAAGAAGAAGAGACTACAATGTGTCACAGGACAATGTTACTGATCTGGGGAAAGCCAGTCCATGGCATGCATCACCACTGGTCCTTAAACGAGGCCGGGCCAAGGGGCAGAGGTGACCGCTTCTGGCCTGAAGGGACATCGAGGGCAGCAGGAGTGGATGTCCCTTGTCCCCAACTGTTTCCTCCACTGCTTTCGCTTCTTCATTTCAGGTCGTTACTCTGCACTAATTAGAGCTTATTTGGGTTTACACACATGGAACTTTAAACTGAAAAAACAAATGGTCAGATCTCTCCCATCAAACCCTGCATGATCTTGCATGAGTCACAAGTGACTCTTAGCAGTTTTCTTAGCTATAAATATGAGGATAAGATTATCTACTTTGCCTCCCTCCCTGAATGTGAATGAGAACAAATGAAATGATGAATATGAAAGTCTCTGGGGAATGTGAAGTGCTATTTAACTATGAGGCACTATAATTAAAATCCAGCTGCATTAACTTAATTGCAAGTGAATTCATTTTATTAGCTTGTCTTTCTTCTAAGAGAGAGCTGGAATAGCACAGAGTTATTAATGGAGACAATGGAGATTGGAAATATAATCCAGGTGTAACTGGAAGGGAGCAATGTTGGGGATTTCAGCGCACTGAGGGTGGGACCTGGGGTGAGCTTGGCGGAAGCACAGGAACAGAGTGGGGTTCTAGGCAGCCCCGGGTCTCCCGCCTCTCTGTGCATCTACAAAATGAGGATGATAACCATTTTTGATTCATAGGATTGGCATGAAGATTAAATGACTTTCTTTTGTAAAATAATTAGAAATGCTTGGCAATTGTTTCTATTTGATCATTTTTGAGCTACAAAAAAGGGATTTCATGTGGTTCGGCCTACATAAATACATATTGTTGTTATAAAAAGTAGAACTGGCCAGAAAAGGTAGTCAGAAAAGACAAACTTGGCAATTTCATCCAGGATTGGGTCTGCTACAGTTCTGCTATATGAGACATTATTTTAAAACCTCATGCAATATTAGAAACATTTTTCCAAAGAGGTGATGGAAACAGTACAAATTGTAGAGACGGGGAGACCTTGATTCACATCGCAGCTGCCTCACCCACTAGCTGGGGAGCTATATTTGGAAGTGACTTAAATTCTCCATTACTCAGGTTTTTTGTCATTAAGCTTGAGATCTTAATACACACTTACTTACAGGATTGTTTAGAGGAATAAATGCGATAATAAAATACCCAGAACAGCCTCTGGCAAATAGCGGCCCTCCATAACTGCTTGCTCCTTTCTCCCTCCCCTGCCAACTGCAATGACCTGAGCCATTTCCTCTCACCTTTGCCATGGCCATCCTGTCCCTGTTGTTGACGTGAGGGGATGTGGCACACTGGGTAAGTGTGTGGTAGCTGGGGTTGGTGAAGTAGTGGCTGTTGGCATTTCCGCCATTGCTGTGAGGAAGGGTTTCTGCAAGAGGAGAAGGAAATGGTTAAGACAGCAGGCTCCCCTAAACCTGGGGAGAAAACAAAGAAGCAGGATAATGAGAACAAATGTTTAGACTGTTTCCGCATCACAAGCTGGGCAGAATCCCCTCCTGGCCGGTATGCTCAGCAAAGCTTCTAAAAGCAGCAGGAGTCTGACTTCCTACCTGTCTCCTCAAAAAGTGTGAAAACATCCAGAGATAACTACCTGCTCTTTGCTCCGGGGCTTGTACAAGCTGGGAATGTATCACTTGGAAGCTACGTCTGCTGTAACTTTCCTTTTTTTTAAACACTTGAGTTCTTGACACCGTTTTGTACGATATTCTGTACAGCTACTTCATGCATTCCCCACAATCACTGTACATACAAACATGTGACACCCTTGAACTCCTTCAGTAATTGTCCCAAAATTAATAAATATTTGAAGTTTCTAAATTCTTCAGTTTAAGTGGTTACTTCTGATGATTGACCATGTACCTTAAAAGTTTATTTTTATAGGGACTTGTGACAAAAAGGAAGATTAGAGAATTTTCTTAAAGAAATGCTCTGGTTCTTGCTAAAACCAAAAAACTGTTTCTTATGTAACTTGGTGGTTGTGCAGTCAATGATGTGTGTGGGCTCAGAAACAGGCTGGGAGGAATGTGGGAAAAACCCAAGGCCAGAGACAGAAGACCTGGTCCTCCCCTTGGTCTGCTCCATGAGCTTGGTAAAGCTACAACCACCCCTTCCGCTCAGCGCCCCCACCCCAACATATGACAAAAGCTTGGGACTGGATGCCCGGTGGGGCTTCATCCAAGTTGAAATTCCTAGTCTAAGCAATCGCCGAATGAATCTAATTTAAAAACCCTCCTAGAAAACAACAGTCATGACGTTACCACCATTGACATCCAAACTACATCTCTAACAACATACCTTTTCCAAACATAAAATTTTCTCAGGTCTCACTGACTGTAACAGTGGACAGCACTGCCAAACACTCAGTTTCAAAGAACCAGGAGAGAAAACCTTACTTTTCCAGGAGTAAAATGCCTCTGGTGACTGCAGTCTTACCTGCAATGGCATAGTCTGCATTCATGACCCGCAGAGCAGGGGTGTAGGTCACTGCTGGCATGCTCGACTCCTTTCCCTTCTGCTTGTGTCTATAAATAATGAACAGCGCCAGCAGGAAGAGGACAACCAGGACAAGAATGATGATGCCCGCAATGGCCCCGATCTGGTAGGAGTCAGCAGGAAGGGCCGTACTGGTTCTGCTTAAGCTGTTAAGATTTCCAACTATTATAACACCAGCTAAAGACAAGGAGAAAAATCTCTTTAGACTGCAGTCCGGATGACAATGCACTGGATAAATGTTTGATCTCTAGTTATAAAAATCTCCCACTGTGCTAAGACCTGGATATTTTCAGTGCATGAAATGTTAATTTAGAAACAAAGCGGGAAGGAAAAACAAACCTTCCTTATTTTTGAATGCCGTTGGCTTCTCAGTGCCCAGAGGAAGGCTGCGGTAGGCCTCCACAAAGAGAGAGGAGTCCCCGAACCCCAAGATTCAACAGTAGGATTTGGGAACTTCTCTCATATTTCAGATTAAACACTTTGACAGTTAACTGGGATTAATACCTCCTCTAATTTTTATTGTGCTTTATTTATTATACAGTATTAAAGTTATGAAGGGCTAGCTCCTCAAGGTCTCAACTAACTTAATTTTATGTCTGTCTTGAGCATTTTTAATAGTAATTTTCCTTCCAAGCAAGAATAACTCCATTTTAAATCTAGTCCAAGCTCAGGATTTATGCTGATTTCAATGGGTTTTTACCTCAGAAGACACCGTTCTATAAAGTTATTTTCTATGACAGAAAGGTCTGTCCCAATAATACCTGATAACATCACCCTAAAACCTAACTCATTAAAGGTCAAAATTCAGTTTTCCACAGCTCTTCCTCTTGTTTCTTCAAGTGAAGACACAGAAGGTATGGATTAAGAGTCAAGAAAAACTGATCCAGATATTCTGAACAGCCTTAAGTTCTTAGGCTGTAGTTTTATCACCCGAAAGTGAGGAAACTGGCCTCCATGAAGGTGCTTCCAGCTTAATGTCCCTACAACTTGATGATTCTACGTGCCAGACCTTCTTATAAGACAGTCTGGCCTGAAACATAGAGCACCAGGGCCAGTGCAGCGTGATGACAACACATATGTAATAACGATGTGATTAGGAACATAACATCCTATTCCTCGGACAGTCAAATATAAATCATGAGCATGTAAAAGTTATTGTATGAAAGAAAATGAAATGAGTACCTACACAATCTACAGTACGGGATGGCTTTCCCTATATTACCATATGAATTCTAAAGCCTTTACACCCCATGAGTGTATTACACTTATTACCTACTGAAGGGCACCACACGCAGTAGGAACTCTCTGGGGGTCATGCTTCAGAACCATGAACAGCACTTTCTCAAAGGCCCCATTTGTCCCAGAAACAGACCAAGTGGGACAATGTACAGGAGAGGTATCTCCAGGTGATTATGATATACATCCTAGTTACAAACTATGGGTACACGTTTGTTAACAAGCTAAACACATACCCATCATATGACCCAATCTTTCTACTCCTATTAATTTACTCAAGAGAAATGAAAGCATATGTGCATATAAAAACTTGATACACTGTTGTACATAGCAGCTGTATCTGTAATAGCTAAAAATTGGAAACAATCCAAACGTCCATCAATAGGTGAATGGGTAAACTAATTATGGTATATTCCATGCAATGGAATACTACTCAACAATGACAAAGAATTGAACCACTGACATATACCACAACATGGTTTAATTTTAAAATAATTACACTGAGTAAACAAAATCAGACAAGAAAAGTGTACGGTATGATTCCATTTATATAAAATTCTAAACACTGCGCTAGTCTGTAGTGACAGAAAGTAGATCCACGATTGCCTGTGGCCCAGGGTACTGCAGTGGTGGCAGGGAGGAACAAGGGAAACTTTTGGGAGTAGAGTGATAAACACATCCATGAAGCCAACACCTTTATTGTAGTGATGGTTTCATGGATGTGTTCATGTCAGATTTTATCAAATTGTATACTCTGTGTTACTATACATATGTGTTGTACATAGGCATATATATATATATATCGTGTATCTTTATATAGTATAATTGTACACATGTACTGCTTTTTAGAGGTTAATTATATCTCAGTAAGGCTGAAAACAATTGTAGGCACAGTGGAAAGTTCATGAACTTTGGAAAACGCGACATCAAAGCGAAGCTTTAGTTTTTTCATCTGTAGGAAAGCAACAATAAGGCATCTACCTAGCAACTAAATAAATAACCAGCTGTGCCTTGAAGAGTTGTGGTGAGGAGTACATCAGATAACACTGGTGAAAACACTTAATGTCGGGTGGTAGATGGTGGTCATAGAATAAGAGGTGCTAGTTGTTATTTACTTGTATCCTTACCTTGATCACACCGTGCCCCCTTCCATCCAGGACTGCAGTAACAGGTCCCAGTGATGTGGTCACAGGTGGAGTTGTTCAGACAGTCACATATCTGGCGACAGCCATAGCCGTACGTTCCTGCAGGGCACTCTGAGAAGGAAATGAAAGTCCAGTATAGCTCTTCAGCCCTGGGAATCTGGGGTAAGGCAGCCTCTTTCTGTATGGCCCTGTGTGTCTGAGGGTCAGCTCTCTCAGGGGACCCCTGTTGAGGAAGACTTGTATCCCTGAATCACAGTGGGACTCATGAGCCAGGCAACACACAGCTGGAGACGGAGTCCCTTGTTACAGCTCTTGATACTTTCAGCCTCTATGTACCCACCTCCTGGATGGGTGTGCACAGAGTCTGCGGCATCCCAATGGGACTGATAAAAATGGTCACTAAGGTCAACCTGAGATGACTCTGCCAGACAAAACTATGGGATGGTAGGGGACCACACTGAAAAGTATACAGTGGAGATGCCTCCTTGGGAACAAGTATATCTTACTAAAGATTCAGAGATCCTCCCAGTGGCACATTCTGGCTCGGAGTAGCTGATAGAAGGAGAAGAGGGGTGTGGTGGGTTTTGTTAATTTTCTAGGTAAGAACTTCACTTACCATTGAATGGATCAAAAATTGGATTTACCGGTGGAAGGCTGAGAGACTGAAATCCTGGGATTTTTACAATATAGTCTTACTAAGTTTGGGCATAAGTTTCAAAGAATAGCATAGACATATTAAATCTAAAAATCATGACAAAATAGTGATGTTTTTGTAGAGTGAGCAGCAGGGGGCAATGTGCTATTACTATCAGAGTTCTCTGTCCAACACAGGGTTTCTGTTTGCGAATGAGAGCTGGGACGGTTTAATTTGTCATTCAGAATAATCACGGGAGCACACAAGAGGCTTTTACTTAATAAGACTGGTTACAAGTGAAAGTCATTTTAGAGATAATTCTGGTTTTTAGACAAAGAGAGGGGTGGGCAAAAGTAGATTTACGGTTGTTCCTAAGGAAAATAATACAATAATTAATAAATAATAAAACAAGAATACACTGTTTCACCTACTTACACCTGTAAACCTACTTTTGCCTACCCTTATATTATGTACGCATATGTTTTGACATTTGTGCACACACAATATTTATATATACAAAGGGGTGTGCAAGTAACTCTGTGACTCTTTGTCTGTTTCATGATTACGTGAACTAGCAGAGCAAAACTAACATTGGACCTTCTCTCTCCAGGCAGCTTTCTGGATGTTACTCTTGTTATAATTGCTAAGCAGGAGGATATGCACAAATATTCTAGGGTTTGGCCCATGTTATCGGGCTGTCCAGCGGCGCTGAGTTGCTGATGGGGTGGTAGGAGAGTGATGCTTTATTGACAAAGTCCTGCTCTGCTGATCAATCTCTTTAGGCCACGCGGCTCCTACACCAGTGTAATCTTTGCTCCTCCTTCCTAAGAGTGCGCCCTCGGGTGAGCGGGAACTCTCCTACTCCTTTTCCTGCCACTATGATTAGAAAGTGAGCCCCATAAGCTCTCAGCAGTTATTTCTTCCCCTGAATACTGAAAGTCACATAGGAAAAGAACAATAAACTAATCCGAAATACTTAGTCTAAGACTAAATGTTCCCATAACCCTGTGAACAGAGGCATAGCTGGTGGGGCAGAAACGGAAAACCAAAGATGGGTAATTCCAACAGAGCATATTTCCCAGGATGAGATTTTCAGAACAAAATTTTAAGGTGATATATTTTCTTGAAGGAGGTTGCTAAGATTCAGATGAGAAGTTGTTAGTAGAAACAATATAAAAGTGCTTCCTAATTGAGGTTGTTAAAAGTGTAGCCATGGACTTGTTGGCTCACCCTCAGTGGGGCTGGCCCCAGGCACCCCGCCCCTGCCTCCTGCACACCCAGCTGGGCCCCACCAAGTGCACCCTCCTTCAGTGAGAGACTTGGGCTCTGCCTTTGCCGTGAAGAAAGCTTGACTGGCTCTTTTAAAGCTCTGAACATCCACGTTCCAAAAATAAGAGGAAGAGGGAGCCAGGATGAACAGATGGAAAACTTGAATTCTGTCTTCAGTCTTGTAGCCACACCCCCTCCACCCAGAGCACTGAGTAGTTAGTTACCCAGAAGAATTTTGAGGGAAAGGACAGCCAGCCAAGATCCGAAGGTGGCCAGGCCTTTGAAGGGGAAGTCAACTGTGTTGGTGACCAGCCATCAGCTCAAGTTAAAAGCTGCAAGTGCTGCCTTAGTGTCTTCAGATATCTAGGAAAAGTGATTCTGGAGGGAAAAAAAGACCATCAAGAGATGTCATCCTCTCATACTTACTCTGTTCACAGTGCTTCCCCATGAACCCTGTGCGGCAAGTACACTGCCCAGAGATGTGGTCACAGTCAGCTCCGTTTTGACACTGGCATATCAACGCACAGTCCTTTCCATAAAACCCCAGGGGACATCCTGCATGGGGAGGGAGGACAGCAAGAGTCAAGAGGTTGAGCAGAAACACGGCTCTTGCTTCCAATGTTTTAAAAAACCTTGAGCCACTAGAGAGTGAATAAAGACCGTAATACCTATGTCAGCTTGTCACAAAGCCTTCTTTGAAGTCCCAAGAATGGGTTCTTGTAAGGAGGTTGTCATTCATAAGCAGGAGGCAGAACAGTTTTATACCTGGCAGTTTAACCATTACTGGTACCCTCGAGGGAAGACTGGTGTCTTCTACCAAGGCACCCTCAACCCTGCAGAAGTCTGTGGCATTTCCTTTCATTCTTTCCTTCAACTACTAGAATCCTGGACTCGAATTCCATGGACTGAAATGAGTACTTTATATTTAAATGACCTGTATATGCATTTACTTTTGGTACAGAATGTCTCCAGTTCTGATACTCACCCTGCCCACTGTCTGTTACTAACTTCAATGATAGGATCTCCTTCACCAACGATGTCCAGTAGCATGCTGAACTTTAAAAACCCTGCACTTCACGGGATCTTTATAAACAAGCAATAAGGCTTCCCACGGCTGCACACTTTTCAAGACCCAGACCACAGCGGCCCTTGAGCTGAGGACCTGCACAGCCCTGCTGGCTTTCATAGGCCTGTAGCTGTGCCTCAAGGGAGTTTCAGGGCTTTTGGCATGAAGAAATCTTCCATACCTGCTGGTTCATCGCTGTTCCCAAGTATCATGTGTGCTTTCTATTTTCCCAGTTTCTTGGAGGGGGTTTTTTTTTTTTTTTAAATTTTTGAGAGCTCAACTCTTGGAAACAGAGGCAGACACAGATGCCACAATGCAACAACCACCATTGCCACTGAACTATGTAGCACCAACTTGTGCTGGATTCTCTGGTACATCCTCTCACCAAAGCTTCACAGCAGCCCAGAAATGCAGGGGTGGGTAATCCCACCCTGCCTGCGGGGACTGTGCCCTGCGTGCCCTGTGACACAGCCAGCAAATGGCAGGATGGCAGGGCAACGGCCCAAAATGCAGGGAGGTCTGGCTCCAGACCCCTGCTCTTCCCACTGTATTGTGATACTTCACTTAAGAAGTGCCTCTGACTGAAACAGGTCCTAAATTTGGAATTATAAATAATAATGCAAGTACTTTTCCTTAAAGAGCTCAAAAACCTGTGTGAGTGCGTGCATGTTTACAGGTTTTTGAACAGGGTTCATACGTGCACACACTCACACACCCACACACACACAATCCCAGCAGAATTTGCTTCGGGCTACCTTCCTTCTTGCCAATTCTTCCTTTCAAATCATGGCTCAAGGCTTTTACCTTTTTCTAGAAAATTTTGAAAGACTTGCTCAGCCTATTCTTTATGTTCTCTAATTAGTATTTAATAAGAACTGCCTAATTTCTGACTCATGTTTCCTCCTCCACTCATTTCTATGATTTAAAATCATATATTAGTATTAATGATAATCATAACACATGCTTTCCTGCCTTTTCTCTTTTATTCAATTAAAGGCAAGAGGGGGGAGAGTAGTCTTTCTTCCCCAATGGTGGCTAGCTGTGGAATACTTGGCACATTACAACCCATGATGCTAACAACCTCATTGAAGAATAAGTGGTTGGGACACAATGGAATATAAAATGGAAAAAAACCCCACCAAAACACTAGTGATTCTTAAAGCATGGTCCCACACTGGCATCACCACCTGGAAAATTGTCAGAAATGTGAATTCTCAGGCCCTACCCCAGACCCACAGGTTCAGACAGTCTGGGAGTGGGGCTAGCTAAGTGTGTCATCAGGTGATTCTGAAGCTCGCTAAAGTCTGAGGACCACTGAGCTCAGTCTTCTCCAAGAACACACGTGAAGTCAGGCAGCGAGGCTTGTCTACCGAGTCTTTGCTACCTTTCTAATCACTGTTACTTATCCTAACTTCCGTGCTGTCAGAGTAAATGGTAGGCCACATAAATAGGGTCTGGTTACAGGAGAGCAGAGAAACAAACTGCCCACCATAACAGATAGCACTGATTCACCTCAGAGGCCTGTTATGATACGGAGACAGAAAACCTGGAACGTGGCAGCTCTTAACCACTTAGAGAGACTTAGATGTCTAGAGGTCATGGGTAGATGAAACCCTCCAACGCCAGCAAAGCTTGCTGAGCTCCGCTCGTGTGTGCAAAGGGTAAGACCGTGTCCTCCTGGGGTGTGGTTCTCTTGGTGGGTCTGGAAGGCTGGCCACTTACTCTGAGTGCAGTAGAGCCCTGTCCAGCCAGGAGTGCATTTACATTCCCCGTCATAGGCGCTGCAGAAGGCCCCGTTGTGGCAGTTGCACGTGTGGATGCAGTTTGGGCCCCAGTGGGCGGGTGGACAAGCTGAAACCACAACAGGCATGGAGAGCTCGGTTAGAGTTCTGATGCCAGCACCTGGCAAGGAAAATCCCATCCCCCCTTCTACACCGGGCATGTGAGAGGTTAGCTGCATGCATCAGGACTGGGAAGGCAAGATGCTCCAAATCTGACTTAAACCTGGGTGACAATGCTGACTGCAAAAGTAACCATCATCCCTGACGTATGCATTCATTCACAGACTGTGGAGTGAGGCGAAAATCATCGCAAGTTTACAGATTTAGTCCTTTAACAAGCACACGTCCAGCCCCCTGTGCCCAGCGCTGTTTGGGGAACAAGGGCGATAGCAGAGAACAAGAGAGTCCTGCCTACCCTCTGGAAGCTCATAATTCAGTAGGGAAGGAAGGAAAACCAGCCAGCCAACCCAAAAACCAATGGTGATAAATACTATGAAAAAAAATAACGAAGGTTCAGAGGGACAAGAACAATGAAGCTGCTACTAAATGCCTCTCTAAGGAGAGGCTTCTAAGCAGAGATCAGACAGAAAAAATGATGCGACTTGAGAGAGGTTAAGGGACCCCAGGTCATGTAATTCGTGTCTTTGATCTCGAAAGCTGGCACTTGGCCTATTCTAGAGTTGTCACTCAAGGCTTGTTTTAAATGTTAAGGCTCCCAGTTGTATGTAATAATTGGTTTACCTGTAAAACTTCTTAATTAGAAAAAGCAGAATACTAAATCTTCAGTTACCTTAGATTCAATCTAAGACAGAGGTTTAAAATCTTAGATTTGAAAAAAGTAAACTACATCTTAGGAGGGGGTCACTGCCTATTGAAGGGCTATCAGAACCTCAGATAAAGCATCTGTGAAATAGTAACGTAAGGTTATGGGGTAAAATGATTTAACTTACAAAAAATAAAAACCTTTTAATTTATACTAATGCTTCAAGAACAAAGCTGCTTAAAAGGAGGACCACTGTAATTTCTGTACGGTTACCCAGCAGAGGGTACAGCCCAATACAGACAATGAATACATCTGAAGTAATCTTTAAAAGTGAAAAAAATCATCTCTCATAAGTGTGTGACTATTTTTTTCCCCTAGGAGCAAGGGAAAAAATAATATCTGACACTTGAGGTCTGGAGTGAATCTCAGAATAGATTTTCTGAGTACATGACCCCAATTTTACAGGTGAAGAAGTACTGAAAAGTAAATAAGCAAAAATGCTATTTATTTAGGTTCTTTTCAAGACACTATTTAGATTTAAATATAGGACCACTGCTCAGAGTTCTTACTGGGGAAAGAAAGCCACTTAAAAATTAAAATAATGTATCTTATAATTATTCATATATTTTCCTTGATTATGTAACCACTCATACTTCAACCCTAAAGACTTTGAAAACAAACAAATAAAAATGGTTGATGAGTTATTCTCAAACGAGACTTACGCTGAGAGCAGTCACTGCCGATCCATCCCGGATAACATTGACAAGATCTGTCAATAGGGTTACAGGTTCCATTGTTGGTACAGGTACAAATTCCTGCACAGTTTTTCCCAAATCTGCCACTGGGACACACTGTGAATAAGTTACAGGTCAGTAACTCATCACTGCATCTAATCTCACAGAACTCAAGACTCTTGGACAGAAAACAACTCTAACGGTCATCAACCCAGGTGCCCATTTAGTAGCTGCCTCCACTTCACAGCATCCCTCATCCTCAATGGACTCATTTTTACAAACACATGAAGCCAAACACTCGTATTAAGGCATCGCAAGCAGGAGACATCATCACGTTTCTAGAAATCTGACTTCATAACTTTTCACTCAGGAAGCCAAAATCCTTCCTCATATTGATTTTTCAAGGGGGACTGTTCCCAACTAAAACTGAAGAAGAGTACAGCTCTGAGAGTAAAGGGGTTTTCCTGGAGTAACAAGCCAGCTTTTCCAAAGCTCCAAGTCATATTTACAGAAGCTGCAAACACAGCATAGCAGAGGCATCGATAGCTGGGAGCTGCAGACATGTCCTTGGGGAAGCCTGAGGACAGGCTGCGTGGGGCTTGCTCCTCAGCAGCTCTCTCTCCAAAGCTGCGCCTTACCTTCATTACAGAGGGCGCCCGTGAAGCCAGGCAGGCAGTCGCACAGGCCGGTGATGTGGTGGCAGGGCCCACTGCTGTGCACACACTGTGGGCATGTCTGGCTGCAGCGATGCCCATAGAAACCCGGGGAACAGACTAAAAAGAGGTTGGAAATCGACAGTTAATCTTACCTCAGATATGTTTCTCTCATATTCCGCATCTACTAGTAGTTCAAGTTTTGGGTAAAAAAACTTTTTTAATGATACGGAAATGATTCCAAGTGTAAAATAATGACCACCATAGAAACAAGGGTATTCTTTAATATTGAAAAAAAAGCCACTAAATTCTGAATTGCCTGAAGGCAGGCAAATAACTTAGTTTTCTTTATTTTCCCATTTATGGCCCCAATTAGCTTGAGGTTTGGCTTAGAGCTAGAGGATTTAAGAAACAAATAAAGGAAGGAAATAACATTCTACATTCTAACAAGGCTGAAATGAATTCTCTCAAGCCATGTGTTGATTCTTTATTCTTTGAGTCATTACTGGCAATAAATAGATTTACAGTCAGAATTAAAAGATGGTTCCTCCTCAAGCATGTGGTTGAAAAGTGAATAAGCAAAATGCTACATAATGAAGTTCTTCCCAAGACATTATTGGGATTTAAATATAGGACAACTATATGGAGCTGTTAATTTAAAAAGTGATCAAAATTTAAAATAACGTATCTTATAGTTAGTCGTATATCCCTTTCTTGAGAACATTTACAAGAAGATGTAGTAAAATCTTATGGCATATTTCCTAACTTAAAATTTCAATTGACCAATGTCAAGAGCCCCCATTTGTAGCTCAGCGATTCTATTTTCCCCATAGTACTAACTTTAAGACTACTAGCAGGATGCATGATTTGCCTCAAGGTTTGGCTGATGTTGACTTCTAGTAATTGAAATAAGGCCAATGCCAAAACTTCTGAATAAAATATTTACAGGTCACTGGATATCTGGAACACCATTTGCAAGATTTAAGGCAGGATCAAGAAACATATCCTGTTGACGATGCCAATGAGGCAATGAAATCACTGCTGGGGAAAAATGGTTAGAGCCACCATCTGTTAGGTTAGTCCTGAAGGCTGGAAGGAATAAAACTTGGGGTGTGTTATCAAGGACAGCTCTGCAAAGGACAGGGTGACCTATCACACTTTCTTCTGCCCCCCACTGCAACAGAACATCACCATGAACTGGGAAGTGGGACAGAGGTGATTCTACACACACGGTGCCCAAAGGAGAAATGGGCGCTGCCACCTTAGGAACACTTACTTCGCTGACAGGTGGTGCCTCGGAACCCCGGCGCACACTCACAGATGCCGTCGTCAGGGGAGCACGAGGCCCCATTTTTACAGTAGCAGGGCAGGGAGCAGTTGGGGCCCCAGCGACCCTCAGCACACACGCTGTCACAGTGGATTCCTGGAACAATGCACAGGGGCAAGAGGAGTGAGAAGCTAGGTGGCGGGCGCCTCTGAGATTCAAAGTTAGAGACAAGGACCGAGGTCATGGTATCAAAGCTGAGTCGCCCCAGACAACAACGAATGGAGGTGGCAGGAGGTTTAAAATTCACTTAGACACATCAATATGCCATCATATAGGAGGTGATCATGTGTCATCCTAACATTAAAATAATCCCAGAACTATTTTCTATAGAGTCATAAAAAAGAAGGAATAAAACACCTTTATTATACTGATTTTCTTCTTTAGGAGGAGAGAACAAAGGGGAAGCCCCATGGCTCTATTAAAAGCAAAATTTATCAAAAATACTGTATCATTTAGCTCACAGCGACTTCCTACCTCCTCCTCCATTCTTTATTTTTACAGAGAAATGGGAAAAGTGTGAAAAAGATAAGGAGAAATTGCCTTCACTGGCGTGGCTCAGTTGGTTGAGCATCATCTTGCAAAGTAAAAGGTCGCTGTTTCGATTCCTGGTCAAGGGACACGCCTGGGTCGCAGGCCGGTCCCCCACTGGGGTGTGTGAGAGGGGCAGTGCTTCTCTCCCTCTCTTTCTCCCTCCCGTTCCCTCTCTCTAAAAATAAATAAACACAATCTTTTTATAAAAAAGATAAGGAGAAATAAAAGGTGGTTAAATTGTTTTATATAAAGAAGTTCCCTTGAAGCAAAGAAATAAACACAATCTTAAAATATTTTGATGATACATTGTGCAGCACAGAAATCTGTGCCACCATATTCCTCTTTAGAAGTTTAATCTGACTTTGGCAACTATAGGCAGGATATCACAATTGATGTTTTTTACAGCTGTTGTCTAAACTGTTGATTACTGCGAAACTATGTAGGTGTTCAACTCTCTGGAAATAAACTTCAGAGTCAGTCATGAATGAACAAAATGCCTAGAGAAAACATAAAGAAAAACCCAAGTTGCAAAAATGAGAAACAAAACAGGTTTTATTGGAGGCAAATGGAAGTGTCTTTTGTAAGCCTGCATTTGAAATACGACAGGGAACCCTTTCTTGTAAGACTGAATTCTTCACAACTCAAAGAAATGCTCTTTGCATTGACAGCAATAAGAATGAGTTATAATTAGTAGTGAACTGGTGCCCGCTGGCCTTAGGCCGAGTAAAAACACGGTAAGAACACGCCTGCACACACTCAAGGATTCCAGGGCACTAATGCAACCCAGCACCAAGGAAGCTGAGGAGGCAATGCTTGTATTACAGGTTTTGCTTCTAAGTTGACTGGGAGAAAAGTTACCGTGGTCTGAACCTTAAAACAGAAGCAGCCTCAAACTAGAACATGAACACTGCTCATTAGTACACAGCCATTTCTGCTGAACCACACCTTCCACTTTTGACTATTCTGGTTCTTTCCTTCAGAAAGTCTCCCACACGGCAAAGTAGGCATGAAAGCACACAGACCTCCCTGTGTCTAGCTTGAACCAACAATAGACTATTATTTAAGCTTGGACAGCTGGCTGAAGAAAGGAGATGAGGCCCGTTACAGGTTGATGAGGGTGTAAGAATTCCGTATAGGGTGAGATGCAGAATTTTGGCCTACTACAATATTCTTTTTTGAGTTCACAAATATATAATCTTTTTAAAAAATCATATCTCTTTTGAAAAGCTGAGATGGAATTGCAAACTCTATGCTTCTCAAATGTGATTCACCAGCCACAGAATCCTGTCTGGTGTTTTGACTGACATCCGTAAAAGGCAGAAGAATCAAACGGATAGAGGAGTGAACCACTTGTAAGGAGGCTGCAAACTAAACTTTGCTTTGTGAATCTGAAGGAAGGACCAACAAACTGAATTCGCTACAGACTTCATTCTATTCAAGTTCAGGCCCTGAGCTCTGACCATGAACCAGGGCTCCTGTTCATCGACAGCTAAAACAGGGACACCCGCTTCATAGAGATTCAGATGAAACCCTGGCCATTCTAGTCTGGAGCCACCCAGGCAACTCCCAGTTAGGATTTTGGAGAAGTGGAAGCTGAATAATTACTTTTTCAATTGAAAGTCATCATGAAAGCTTGTCCTGATTTTTGGCATTATTTTTTGCGGGGTGGGAGCTTGGGGAAAGGGGAGATTTAGCTATTTATAGTGATTTAGTTTATCAGTGGCCTGCCGTATCTCTCCTTCACATTACACTTAATCAATGCCATTAAGATGGAATGGAGTACACTTTAGGTCAAAAAGTATATGCTGCTTTTTGCCATTATAGATCATCATGATTTATCTATGGCTTAGAACATTCTTAATCAGAGCACATTAAGAAAAAATGACTCGTGGGCAGACTGACAAATGTGAATAAGTGATCTTTTATTTCATATCCAATTCTTCTTCCCTAATAGGTTTGTTCAGCTGATTAGCATAAGTATCAGTCATAATCAACTCTATCAAGATAATTATCATACATGCAACGAGGCCCACAATATAACAAGGAGATCCATTGCAAAGATAAGCTTGTTTCACATGATTTACCCATCACTTAATTTCCAGAAAATCACAGGAAAGTCTAGAGATCATCTATCAAATCTTCTGTCTCTAATCATGTACTCTATACACATATTTCAACAGAACCAAGCTTCCTTTTAAATAACTTTTATTTTATGATTTCAATGGAGTCTTTCCTTGGAAAATGTGTTACAATAATTCTATTACCAACTTCCTCTAAAAATTCCATCCTTTTTCTTTTTCTCTATCATCAGTAAAAAGGAGTCATCATTGTGCAGCTAATAATGCCTAATCGGCTGGAAGACAAACATAAAGTATTACCACAGTCAGGGGGCAATTGCAGCGAAAAGTGCGAAGCTGTCTCTTTTGTCCTCTTGAAGCACCACTTTCTCCTATTATTACTTTTCCCCTTCGGGCCTCCTGTATCCTCTTACTATCTTTCCCTTTGTCTTATAGCCAAGGAAGGATAAGATAAATTTATTATTGCTGAGGTGTTACCTTCTCTAGAGAATGTTACTATTTTAATAAAATATACATTAAGAGCCTTAGAAATAAATCTCCAAGTGTGAGATTTTAGGCAATGAGACTCACAGAGAGGATACCAGGGGAAGTGCTACTAATGTGACTTCTGTGTAAGGCGTACGTTGACATTTTCTCCAGGACAGGGAACTAAAAGTTTGCTTCAACCTTTTTTTTGGCTGTTGTGTGTGTGTGTCTTTTATTCCTGAATTATTTCCACTGATCTCATCCTAGTCTTTGCCAACTTTGCTAGAGTCCTACAGGACATCTTTTTATTTCATTGTTTGTCAAAGACAGAAGGGTGACTTCCACTCAATAAACACTCACGGGGTCTGACAGCTGCTGGCTTGCTGGGGAGAGGTCTTCTCTGAACGACCTCTATATCTAGAGGGATAATGGCCCCAGAACAGGCACACCCAGCCTTGCTAGGGATCACAGTCGGAGGAGAAGGTAGCTTGTGAAGGTAGGGGAAAGGTGGTGTGAGGCTCAGAGGCCCAAAGCAGTTATGCGTCTCATCCTCCAGGAGTCCCAGGTTGGGGACCACTGAAACCGGGACCGTGGAGAGTGGGAGAGCCGGCAGGGCAGCCAGGCAGTGGTCATGTAAAGAGCCAGGAACGCCACACTGTCAGTGCGAGCTTCCTCCCGGTGCTGTGACCAGACAGGAACTTCATTTCTTTGATATGACCTTTTCTCCTTTCTTTCCTTTTGATTAAAACGGGCCTCATCCAGTGCCCTGGCTCAGCTACCTCCCTCTCCCTTGCACGTCCACTTCCTTAATCATACGGCCCTCAGGACCACGAGGTTCCAATCAGCATCAAATAATCTTAGAAACAAGGCCTCAGGTCTGCTGACCCAAGAAAGAGAGTTTTAGTCAAACTAGAGATAACAGTTAGTTTTCAGCTGTGCTTCAGGTCCAGACCCAGAAAAGCAGAAGGATCACACCTGCTGCGCCCTCGTGAGAACAGGCCGCGAGACACCATGGCTGACATCAGGACCAGACGCCCTGATCACCTGGCCCTTCCCTAGCTCTGACCGATCAACAGAGACCACAACCCTAACTCCACAGTGACTGATGGTTTCCCCCCTATGTAATCCATCCCCTAGAAGCCATCAGGGAGCTAGGTCTTAGAGCAATGGCTCATCTGTGACTCCAGTTTGGTACCATTTCTTTAAATAATAAAGCTTTACTTTCTTTGCTGCAAACTCATGTTCACACTTCATTGGGTTTGGTGCGCACAGGTGAGGAAATCCCTTTAGTTTGGTAACAGTGTTAATAGGGACCAAATGGACAATTAAGTAGGGGATGTATGTAACTAAACTGTGTTTTGTAGGAGGGCAGAAGATGCTTTGATGATGAGCCTAGAAGAAAGACCTGTCAGATATGGGAAAAAGTATATAATAAAGATTTAAAAAAAAAAAAAGAAAGAAAAAGAAAAAGAAAGGAGCTGTCTGGTGTCTGTTTTGGATTAACCAGGTTAAAAACAAATGATAAAAATGACAAGGCCTTAAGCTAAATTAATGGCAGTTGGGATGAAGTGGGAAATGAATATTCCAGAGAAATACAGGAGAGAATGCAGATGAAAGATGCAGTTCCCTCCCAGGCTCCACCCAGGGCAACTAACAAATTCTGGCAGTTCCGCAAAGGAGCCTGTTTTAGCTCACTACAGTGCCTGGCACCTGGAAGGTGTCAAATATTTGTTGAATGAATTCATAAGTCCAGTCCCTTTTTCGATGTGATATTCAGCACCATTTTCCAACTGGATGGAGAAACCATACTGTTCTTTTTCCCCTGAAGGAGTGGTGAGAAGTGTGTTGAATCAGGAAGTTTATATTTTGTACACCTAAAATGGTGACTCTTCCCTCAAAGGGGGTGGAAATGTCTGCCTCGCTTATTTTTGAGATGTACTTTCATGAGCTCAGGTCTGTGTTCTTTAATGCTAGCCCAGATTATAAAGCAATAGAAGAATTATGGGACATCTTGAGGAAAAT